GTGCCAGTAGGTTGGTTGTGGAACTGAGCAAGCTGTAATTGTTAACCTCAATTTCTTATCCATCTATCAGGGTGCTACCAGTTGGCCCTGTGGTGAGAATCATTGTCTTCTTGATGTTGAGCTTCAGTCCATATTGAAGATTACAGTCCTCGACCTTCTGCAGTAAATGCTTCAGGTTCTCCTCAGATTTAGCAAGCAAGGTTGTATGATCTGCATAACTCAGGTTGTTGAGGTTATGAGTCTTCCTCCAATTCTGACGTCACATTTCTTCTCATAAATTAATTCCAGCCTCCTGAATAATCTGTTCTGCATATAGATTGAAAAAGAGGGGGGGGGTAGGGGGAAATAAACAAAAAGAAGAAAAAAGAAAATATAAGGAGACAGGATGCATCCCCTGATGCACTCCTTTTCTGATTTTGAACCCTGCCATGTTTCCTTGCTCTGTTCTGACAGCTGCTTTCTGGTCCAAATATCCTTTTCTCTTGAGAACAGTTAAGTTTTGTAGGATTCCCATTCTTCTGTGTTAGCACAGTTTGTTGTGATCCACACATTGTCAATCAAACACAGATAGACATCCCTCTGATACTCTCTGCTTTCAGCCAAGATCCATCTGACATTGACTATGATGTCCTTTGTGCTACATCGCTTATAATTCCAGCTAGTATTTCAGATATGTCAGTGTTAACACTGGGAAAATCTGTTTGAGGACTAAGGTGCACCTGATTCAGGCCATGATCTAATCAGTCACTTGCTATGCTACTGAGATCTAGACAGTGAATAAGGATGACAGAAGAAAAATAGATGCCTTTGAGTTGTGGTGTTGGAGAAGAGTACTGAGTATCTCATGAACGTCGAAAAGAACAGATAGGTCTTGGAGACGGTGCAGCCAGTGTGCTCCTTGGAGGCAAAGATAATGATTAAGCTTCACCTCACGTACTTTGGGCATGTTGTTGCAGAAGCCATTCATCAGAGAAGGACATCATGCTTGGAAAATTGGAGGGAAAAGGAAAAGAAGACTCTCAACCAAGTAGATTGACACAGTGACTGTGGCAATGGGCTCAAGTGTGTCAGAGATTGTCAGGATGGCACAGGGTAGGGCAAGGTTCAGATCTGTTGCCCATAGCATTGCTGTGAATCATATTGGCGTCAGCAGCACCTAACAGTGTGTGCGTGTGTGTGTGTGTGTGTCTCACACTGTAAAAGATGTCTCAGGCTTTGTAAGAGATCCTTTTATAAGATATCACTTTTGCTTTTATGGAAGATCTACGTTCTTATCTGTTTTAAATAACCAAAAGAAATTCAAAGATTTTCCCTTTTACTGAAAAGGAGAAAGGCTAACCTCGCTTTTCAGCATTTTTGTAGCAAGTTCTTAAAAGGCAGCGTGTACCCTGAGCAGTGAGAATGGCATAACCGAGTGCATTTCCTGGGAGCTCACTGAGCATCAAGCCACACCACAGCTTTGAATTGTGTCTGTGAACACTGTTTTTAGTGTTATTTCACATTTTATGTGTAATTTAGTATGATTTGGCAGGTTATTTTGGGGGTCTAGAAACACTAAAAATTTGTGTCTGTTTAAATGAATGCTAATTACATCTTTGCTTTACCACATTTCCATTTACAGATTGTTCCACAGGAACACTCCACTTTCAGATAGCAGGGGAAACACAGATACATGTGTGTGCACACACATATGTATTTCTACATATACATGAGAGAGATTACATAACTGGCTTAAACACTCAAAGTCCAAAATCTCTTGGTCAGCAGCAGATTAGAGATTATGTCCAAAAATCTATAGGTCAAATGATAAGAAGAATGAAGGCACTCTTGCCAGTTTTGTTTTCCGTGGTCTAAAGGAAGACTTCATCCTAGGGAAAACATCCTTTTTTTTAAAGCCTTCAATTAATTAGAACCCACATTATAGAAGGTAATCTACTTAAGACCAACTGATTTCATCAAACGTAACTACCTACCTAGTAGTTAGAGACTTCACTAGTGTTTGAAATAACTGGACATCTTTGCCTAGCCAAACTGACTCATAGAATAACCATCCTAAAATTACATATCATAAAAGTACCAAGTGAACACACCCACCAAACCAAAACCCAGATCAAGAAACTGTGTGTGTTACCGGTAGCTCTCGTCCTGTTGTCTCCACTGCCTATTTTCTCATCCTTTTAGGAGAACCCCCTCTTGACTACTAGGAGCATCAGTTAATGCTCACAATATTGGTTTTGTACTTAGAGAAATTAAATTACACAGAATATTTTGTGTCTTGCTTTTCTTACTCATTGTTTGGTTTGTATACTTGTAGATCATTCACTTAACATTGATCTGTATAGACTTGGGTTTTATATTTTTTATGTTCCCCAGGGAATTTGAGTACTCTGTTTTCATCTTGCTAGACAGGCTTTAGCAGCTGCCTCAAGATCATTTTATCATGCCTCTGGGCCTCATCAGTGTATGTTTTTAAAGGTAAAAGATCTAGGGAAGCCCAGGACATTATTTCATTTGTCCAGAGAAGTTAGACGATGCTGGGCAGGCAGATATTCCTGATGAGCAGCTAGTGAGAGGACCAGCCAAGCTGCACAAGCCTCCAGGCTCACCTGTCTGTGTCTGACCGGGGAATATTTTTTTTCTTTCTAGGTGTGCCTGAAGCAGAAATCACTTGGTTCAGGAACAAAATCAAATTGGCCTCCCCTCCCCATCTCCATGAGGGCTCCTTACTGCTCACAAATGTGTCCTCCTCAGACCAAGGCATTTACTCTTGCAGAGCTGCAAATCTGCATGGGGAGCTGACTGAGAACACCCAGCTTCTGATCCTAGGTAAGCAGCTCATGGCAACCTGTACCAAGAAAATCCGTTACTGGTGACACTGGCTACTTCTCTTTACCTGAGTTACAAGCCCCTTTTCTTCTCCCTTAATTAGAGCCTTAAAGTAAAAAGAACGCAGTCTTTGGAACCAGGCAGGCTTAAGTTTGAGCCTTTGCTATACACTTACCAGCTGTGAGGCCTGAGGCAAGTTACTTGACTGCACTAAGCCTTAGGTGCTGGTCTTCTGATTGTCCAATAGAGATAATACAGGCAAAGCAATAAGGTTTGATTCTTAACTCCACCCCCCCATGTTAAGGATTTCTTTAAGGATCACTTAAAAGCTAGATATTACCTCTTTGCTGAAAACTCAAAGATGTAAAGTTTTTTTATGCAGTTTCAGAAAGTTTAAGATCGAACCCATAAACATAAGAATCTGAATCAATTCCAACAAGTAGTGGCCCGATCAGACAGAGTAGAACTTCCCCAAGGCTGTATGTTTGGGAACAAACAGCTACACCTTTGTCACCTAGAAAGTCTTTTTTAACCAACAGACTTTGAGCTAGTGTAATCACTGTGTCATCAGAACTTCCTGAAATAGCGAATGATACTGAAAAATAACAGCATTTGCTAGGACATCATGGATCCAACACTCCCCGTGACCCACTACTGCTCCCAGTTTTGTGGAAATCCCCCTTTCTTTCCTCTAAACTAGGGCTCACCTTTTCTTTTTTGTTGAGTCTGGGGTTGGTGGAATGGAGTATCAAAGCCTTTCATAGTCTTCCTCTTAAGAAAATTCATAAAAGACCTGTGTGTTCCTAGGCAGCTATCCCACCACCCATATAGACACATGCATTTGTTAACAATTTCCTCAGGGAAAAATAAACTAGATACTTCTATTTTTATACTCCGGATTGCTGATGTCCAAAGCCTACGTTTTGTGGCCTCTGCCCATTCACATCTCAGAGAAGCTCTGAGGGTGTTCATCTCCCCCGTAGTTGTACGTGCATTCAGCCTCTTAGGAATGTCACCTCTGTGAAAGAAATTGTTCGTTTGGTATTGGACTTTATCTGGCTGCGTTGCTAGTCCAGCACCCAGGAGAAATTAGTACATACGCTAAGTTATGGTGCTTACTGATGGGTTTATCCCTTCATCACTGCCTTCTGCAAACAGAGATGAAAGCCTAGTATGCGCAGCTACTACTGTAGCTTTGCCAGTGGAGGGTGTATGTTCTGTGAGTCGGTTCTTAGAGCATTCCAGCTCCGATAATGGTGTGACCATGCGCATGGCACGTGGCGAGGTAAACCTCTTCCTCCGTTTAACCAAGCCTGGGGATAAAATCACTGTTTTAGACTGAAGTGCAGGGCTTTCATAATCAGGTGTTTTGGTTTTTTATGTTTGTTAGTTTTTATGGCAATGTTTTGTTTTTGTAAACAACAAAAATAGGGCTGAATTATTAATAGAAAATTTTGTGTCTGAAACAGATTTCATGGCAAGTTCTTTGACTTGTGGCCTGACTCCACACCAATGACTTTTTTTAGATTGACATTATTAGGCTTGGTTCTTAGAAGTGACCTTATCATTTTAGGCGTCAAACTACTCTGGGTCTTTGAACTTGCCGTTCTCTCTGCTTGGAATGTTGCTTTCCAGGCTTCTTTCCATGACTGGTTTCCACAATTCTTCTTTCTTATCTCACCTGGCATCTGAGCCCTGCAGACTGCCTTTCTCTGACTGCTCTCCTTTGACTGACCATCCCATCATAACTTTGCTGAATCTCCCTGCTTACATGCTTCACAGAGCATATTACAGTCTGTGGTTAGCTTATTTGTTAATAGTCTTAACACATTACCTTCACCAGATTGTAAACTCCCTGAGGGCAGACAAAGTTAACCATTCTCATTGCTCTGTTTCCATGCCTCCTACAGTGTGTAATACATTCTAGAAACTCAGTAAATGCTTGTTGCAATTAATTTAAAAAAAAATAAAAATTAAAAAAAGGCAACTCTGGCAGAGCTCGGAAGCTCCGGTGGTATGGTCTTTAAGGAGTTGCACTACCAAACCCAAGGCAGTGGCCCTCTGCCGCTTCAGATTCGTCACCTGTTCCTCATGAGAAAATGGGATACTCTCCTCTTGTACAGTTTACAGCCTCCAAAAACCCCCTGGAGGACGAGCTGTGCATCAGTTCCTACTCAGTGGAGATGAGTTGAGTTTATTTGATAGTGATGCTTGCCTTACACACACACACACACACACACACACACTCTCTCTCTCTCTCTCTCTCTCTCTTTCTCTTTCTCTCTCTCACACACACTCACTCACTATTATATATCCATATGCACCTGACCCCCTAAGACAACGTCTTTATACTTATCTTGCCTCATTCACCATCTGCCTTCTTACAGATCCCCCTCAAGTCCCCATGCAGTTGGAACACATCAGGGCGTTGCTCTTAGCCACTGGACCGAACCTTCCTTCGGTGCTGATGTCTCCTTTGGGAGCACAGCTGGTCCTGGATCCTGGGAATTCCGCTCTCCTTGGTGAGTCCAACCTTCTGAAACATTGGGCAGAAATCCAGGGCTGGACAGGATTTATGGATGGGTGACTGTTTGCAGGTGGGAGGGAGGCAACAGTAGGGGATAGCCAACAGGAAATCACTAAATTGTCTACAGAATCCAGACTTGCCAGTGGAAACTTGGCTGACTTTCCATACGAGGTGAGTGCAGTTCTCAGTCTGGTCCCTAGCTTGTCTAGATTCCAGCATGGTTCCATTCTGAGTCCTCTTGGGCTTATGCCACAGACCAGAACCTTTCAGTCAGGTTACCTCACTTACCTCTGAGAAAGAGCAATGAAGAACAGCTCCTATCTCTATATCCCCTTGGCAGCTGCCCACTACTACTCCTCAGTGGCCTCTACCCACTGAATATGGCTCTCAAGGAGAAACCCCAAATGTTAGTAACAGTAGCCTGACCTATTTCCCTTGGCTCAGGTTTTTCTGCCTCTTTTTGGTATAAGAGGCCTGGCCTTGGGTTCCCCATTTAAACTGTTAGTGACTTGGAAACATAGCCACAAGGTCTATTATCTGCAGGGCAAGAGCACAGAAAACTTTTACTTAGTTTTCTTATTGGAAACTAGAATAGAATCCTCATAGTTCCCAACATGTGAAAGTGCTTCTCATTTCTTGCTGTCTTATCTGGGTAAAAAATAACACAGAAATACAGTCACAAGTAACTTTATTCTGTTTGGGCAAATTTGTGTTAAGTTTTGCCACATCATATTGAGCAGAATTCATAGGAATTGCAAACTGCATATTTTTCTTGGTAAACTTATTCCCAATTAAATGTGTATGTTGCAGGCTATTTCACTTTAAGCTCATCTGTATGAGATTATATCCAAACAGTTAAATCATAGCTCAGTTTCTAGAAGGGTGAGCAGCAATTGCTTATTTCTCCAAGTTCAGTAACTCTTTGAGGTCACTCAGGTGCCATTTTAGCGTGCTGGAAAAGTTAACCTGCTTGTATTTTTGCTTGATAGCTTTCCTTTCCCCCCTCCCCTTATTCTGGAATAATATTTTGTCTCATTTTAACCATGGGCAATAAGGATTTATTGTGCTGTATGCTGCTACATTCCATTCTAGTTTATGGTGCTTTGTTACTTTACTCTGGAGTTTAAATCTAATAGTTAAGAGACACCTCAGTGTCCCAGTCCACATCCAGACTGCTCTATTTGAATGAGACAGTGAGTCAGTACCCATAAAGTCCCTGAGTGTAATTGCCTGGGCCAAATGGACTCCAGCAGTGAATGTCAGTGTCTTGCCAGCACTGTGGACTTAGGAGAGTACAAAGTGGAGTGATAGAGATGAATTAGGACATAAATTCAAGCATCAAAACTCTGAGAGTAGGTCATTTTAGACAGCCTAGGACCTGGCTGTGATGCTTTGGAGTTGAACACTGAAGGATGCGTGAGAGAGATTGGACTAGTCAGGAACGGAAAGAAAGAGACATGCAAGATGAAGATTCATCTAACCCCAAGATGAAAATTTGCCGCATTCTGTTCAGAAACAACTGTAAAAACAGCATGACTTTAATACTGGTAAAGATTCAGCTAATCTAGAGGCCTAGTGGTAAAGAGCTACTATGCCAACTCCAAGGCACGCAGTTCAGATCCACTAACTACTCCTTAAGAAAGACGGGAATTCTCCTCCTGTGCAGTTTACACCCTCTAGAAGCCTCTGAAAAGTCAGCCATGGATTGGCTCCAACTTGACAGCGCCTAACTACAGATTGAGACAGTAACTAACCCATCCCCCGAAAAGAAAATCTCTACTAGAGCTTGTTCACTTAGATTTGCCTCAGAATTTCAGCCCTAAAATTCTAATGCCTCCTTCCATCTCAAACATCCTCAACTAGTGACCCCCTGATCTTTCAGTGGCCAGTTGTTCCCATTTCAACTGACTCCCAGCCTTCGTTTTGTAGATGGCCCTTTCTGACCATAGTAGGTGCTTTGAATACAGGAAAGAGGCCCGGCACTAGGGAGCAGGTTTCCTATGCAGTTGCTGAGACATTAGAATGGTAAGTGAGGTCCAACTGGGAAGGATATTCAACACTAGAGTGAGAAGGCAAATTAACTATGGAAAGAGAGAGGTGTTTCTAGACAGCTTTTTGCTGTTGTGTGGTCGAGTCAAAACCAACTCATAGCTGACCCTCTAGTGGGTTTTGAGAGGCAATAAATCACATGGGAGGAGATCATTCCTCCATCATTCTCCCACAGCAGAAGAATGATATAGTGATAATTCTTGAGAAACATTGATATTTTATAGGAGTAACCCTTGGTAGGAGAGACTTAGTGAAGAAAGTCTGTTTTGAGGGTAACATTTTAAATCATATTGGAAATGTGTGGCAAAGCACTGTTAATCACACTCAGGCAAGTCAGACATCAAATTAATCTTAATTGCTTTGTTTCACTCAGCACAAGGGCTGTCTTAGAATTGATTTTAACATTCTCTCCAAGCAATCATTGCCACATCACAGCATTTGACATACAGGATGAACCACATTTGTCAACCCTGTTACAATCAATTGTGAGATTCTGTGATATATATTTCTTCCATATAAGAGATCTCTGCAACAGATCAAAGAATGTCATAGTTATATGATGCAGGGATGGTAACTCAGTCTTCTATTTTCATGGGAGAAAAACAGAAAGCTGAGCTGTGGTATATCCACACAGTGGAATACTGTGCAGCACTGAAAAATAAGGAACTCATGAAATATACAAAATGAATGACTCTGGGGGTTATTATGCTGAGTGAAGTGCCTCAGTCACAAAAGGACAAATACTGCATAATGTCACTGTTATAAAATGGGACTAGCATGGGGGTTGAGGGGAAACCAAGGAAAGAAGGGATAAATAATGAACACTGCATTAACATCAATGAGGGAAAGAACTGTCTAAAAGAAATAAATTATTAGGTATTATTTGCATGACCGTAGTCCAGAATAAGAGATACATAGCAAACTGACTTGGAGGGTGGGGCGGGGAGGGAAGTTGTGCAACAGTGAAAGAATGGAAATCCAAGTTTTCTGTAAACTTTGGTTAAAATCAAAATAAAAATTGTTTTTAAAAAAGAGAAAGATGACTTTGAGCTTTACAAGCCAAATAGCAGAGGTAACTCTTCTCCATTGGATGTGAATGTTGACATTCCTGAAACAAACTGGTCTTTCTTGAAGGAAATGCAAGCAGGATATACTTTAGAGACAAATACGGTGAACCTTTGGTTCACATCCTCTGGGCATGCTGTCAGGAGGAATCTGTGCTTCTAAAAAAGCCTCCTATTGAGAAAAGTTGGGAAAGTCACAGAAATAGAGGCGACCCCCAACAAGATGACTTGACACAGTGACTGTAACAGTGGACTTGAGTCCATCACGGGGATGGAGCAGGAGAGGGCAAGATTGAGGACCACTGTATGTCATAGTTGACTCGACGGCGTCTAGCAAGGAATTCGTCTGTTTCAGCAGTGGCTGTGTAGGTTATCAGACATTCCGGCATTGATTTCACTTCACCTCACTGCCACGGCTATCAACAAAAAGTGATTGAGCAACGTAAAAGCTCATCTGTACTTGCACTGCCTGAAGTGCAGGCTTGGGACAAATGAGCCTCCTATTGCCCTTGTATTTTCTTTGACTTGTTGTTACATACTGTCAAGTAGGAGCTAACCCATGGCTGACCCTGCAGTGGGTTTTCAGAGACAGTAAATTACACAGAAGGAGATTGCCCATCTTTCTCCCGTGGATCAACGGGCAGATTGGAATCATGACCCCTTGAATTGGCAGGGCAACCCAAACTTCTAAACCACTAGGGCTCTTTCACTTAGACATGGAAATAACCAGTGGTGGATGAGTCTTTCCGAGTACTCCCAACCCAGCTGGACCCATTGATTCACACAGGACAGGTGCTAATTTTTTGTCTTTTTTTATAGTTGTCCTTTCTGCAGGGAGGCCTAAACTCTGCCAGCTGCTCTCAGTGATTGGTTCAGCGGCCATGCTGCCACTCTTGGCAGCCACCCTGGACAGTACTCTGTAGGGTTCCAATTTTGAGCAGCAGCATCTCAGGTCCTCCTACAGCACCTAACCCCTTTTTTTTAAATTATTGTTAAATTTTATTAGTTTTCATGAACATTTACAGCGATTTTGGGTTTTCATTCATTCATTGTTGCACTGTTTTCTCTACCCTCCTCCCCAGTTCGTTCTTCTTCCCCCTCCTGTCTGTTTTAACTGTCCAATTGCCACAGTGCTTGTCAAAGCCTGTTCTGATTAATCTCCTTTGTCAGTGTGTCCTTTGCCATTCCCTATCACTCCTCCCTGAGAGAGACTTCACCCTGATTCATAAGGAAAAGAGGATGGCGTATTCTCTTAGCTACTTCCTGCTGAAAAGGGACGCTGTGGGTTTCAGGGTGAAGATCTTCTCTCACTACTCTAAAGGGCCCCATTGGCAGTAGGAAACACATAGACTATTATGGAGATTGATTTTGGAATTTAGATGCACTTTTATCAGTTGTGCTTAGCCGTACATGTTCATGTCCTTGAAGATGTATCATGAAAGTGTTGCAGCCTAGAAGACACAAATTTAACTAACAAGTTAAAAGTACATGAGTCAAAAATCAAAAAGCAATAATATTCCGAGTAGAGGTTCTAATAGTGGCACAAATCAAGTTACAGAGGGAAGGTGGTTCTTACAATAAAAGGCCTATAGACTAGCACTTTGTCTATTATAGTGTAGAGGTTAGGAACCACAAGATGTAGAGGCTCAGTTATGTCATTTATGGTTCTTAAGTCCTGGAGCAAATTCCATCTACCACTGGGTTGTTTTACAACTCGGAAGTTCGCATGCAAGGTAGAGGTGAAGTAAGGAACTGCTTATGAGGTTTCCCATCCATTCGAACAACTAAGAAATAGTGAGAAGAGTTGGGACCTCAGAAGGCTTTTAGGACCAATTAGTAGGCTCTGTGTCCAGGAGAAAATGAATATACTTACCAGTAATGT